TCCTATCGCGCCCCCCAGCGGCCTGGAGTGGCGGTGCCCCGCATTCCCTGCGAGCCTTGCCTTCGTTCTCCCTTCTCCCACGTGTTAACGGCTCATGACCTGGAAGGCGGCCACTGAGTCAGCCCCGGAGGTCACTCCGGGCTACTGTCTCCCGCGGGCGAGCACTCTTGTCTCTGTACCGCCACGGCCTGGACTCTCGACACCACTCTGGCCTGGGCCGCTTTTCCCTGAAGCCATTCCACTGTAAACCTAGGCCGTGGCCTCCTCTAGGCATCAAAAGGGCGGGCGAGGGCCCAGCTGGGGCAGAGTTGGGCACAGAGAGAGTCCCAGGGGGAGGTAAGACATCGGATTTGGAACGTGGAATTTGAGATCTTGGCTCCTCCGTCCACAGGATGGTCAAGCACCCTCTCGCCGCCTCCTTCAGAACAGGCTGGCCTGAGAACTTCCAGGTTTATTAGGTTCATCACCTCCCCAAGTCCCTCCTTTTCCCTGCCAACCCTCTGCTCCTCCCTCCACCCCCCACCGCTAGACCAGCTCCAGCTGGGAGCTCTTGAGTGGGCTCAGGGTGCGGTTTGTGGTTCGGGTGAAGGTATCCACCTGGGGCACAAACTTCTCAGCTGGAACCGTCAGCTTGCAGCGAGTGTCCATACACTTGGTGTCCAACAGCATGGAGTTAGCCTTGCAGGCAATGTCAGCCTGCAGCCGGGCCAAGTGCTTGTACAGGGTATCGAGAGCATCCCTGGGGGCAGGTATTGACAGTCCACCACTGCTGCAGGAGTCTGAGAGGTGTGGGCTAACTCACCAGTTTAACGCCCAGGGGAACCAGCAAGCAACAAGAGACCCAATTGGTGGGCGGTGTCTCCCCACCCCTCCTGCCCACACCCCAAACCTACTGTGCTTGTGCCAGCTTCTGCTTCAAGGCAGCAATAGTCGCTTCTAACTGGTGAACCTCGTCAGTGAGGCCATACTGTGCCTGGAGGTGGAGGAGCAGGTGGGAGTTCCAGGTCAGCCACACTCATTCAGCCCTCCAGCCTGAGGGCTGCCCTAAGCTAGCATCACTTCTCCACCATGTGTATGTGCTGAGGGGTGATCCTGAGGTGAACATTAGCAACAGGCCTATGCCTCCCTGGGGAGACCCTTGAACCTGGTCTCTGCAGAGCTCCACATTGGGCCGGTAGGTTCTGGACTCCAGCCGAGTGTGGGACAGCTTCAGGTTCAGCATCTTTCTGCGCAGATCCTCCTCCAGGTGCCGGATGTCCTCCTGCAGCTCAGCAATCTCCTCCAAGGTCTGCAGGGGACAGAGTGATGAGCTGGATTCCTGTAGGAGCACTCAGTCCAGGGCTTCCTGGCAGGGCATCTGGCCCTGGCTCCAGGGAGAAAGCTGGTCCCAGGGAAAGACTCACGTTCTTCTCTTGCCACTTGAGCTCACTGTACACACTCTCCATCTCCCGAAGCCGCTTCCTGAAGGCAAATTCCGTTGCTACCCTCTGGGCTTCGAGCTCGTTTTTGGTCTGCAGGATAAGAAGCAGGCTGAAGGGCCAGGGATTTAGCTCAGTGGTTCCACTGCCTGCCTCGCAAACACAAGATCCAGAGTTTGATCCCTGGTACCCCCCCCCACCACACACACACAAAGAAGGAGCAGGCTGAGCAAGGGGAGAGCCTGAGCCCCAGAGTGCTGCTTACATGAGGGAATGGTGCCATGGTCAATGGAGAAAGAAGGATAAAGGTGGAGTGCACTGTTGGGACATCCATTGGGCTTTGAGGAGTGGGTTGTGGGGCTTTGGTACCTCAGCAATAGTTAGGGCGATGGACTCCCTCAGCTCGGTAGCTGCTTTCATCTCAGCCTCTGCTCGGTTCTTGTTGAACTGACTGAAGTCATCCCACTGCTGAATCGTGGTGGAGCTGCAGGTGCCAGGAAATAATGAGGTTGTGGGCTACAGCTGATGAGGGAGGAAAAGAGAGTGATTGAAACATTCTTCTTACCCAGTGGGGACACGTGTGGGGTTAACCTTCAGAGAGATGTTTGGGGACCTGAGGTTGAGAGATAGACAACCTCTGTCGATCTCCAGTGTCTCCATTTTGCCCCGATGGTCAGAGTTGAGTTGCTGTTGGACTTCCTGCAGGAGGCTAGGGAAAGAACAGCGCCATCAGGAGCCAGCACTTAGGCCTCTGGATGTCGTCACCCTCATTAAGCAGAGGGATATTAAGGAATGGGACGCTGGGATGGCTTCTCCCAGCAGAAGTCAGTGGAGCTGCTGCTGCAGCTGAGATGAAGACTATCACAGTTAGGCAAGGTTTCCCCAGGTGAAAATACAATACCCATGTGTTCACACACACACACCTGAGGGATGCAGGTATGTGGCTACACTCTCACACACAAAGGTACTCAAGAGTGGTGGCAAGAGGGCTTCAACTAGTTGGGCATGGTGGCACATGCCTAGAATCCCCACACTTAGAAGGTTGAGGCAGGATTGCTGTGAGTTCGAGGATAGCCTTGGCTACATAGTGAGTTCAAGGTCAGCCTGAACTACACTGGGAGACACTGTCTCAAAAAACCAATAAAATTTGATCCCTGGTACAAAAAAAAAAAAAAATATATATATATAGCTTCAAGTTGCCTCCATTTGGGCTGGGGGATTTGGCTCAGTGGCACCATGCCTGTCTTGCAAGGTCCTGAGGTCGATCTCCAGTACCAGAAAAAAATAATAAAGAGTGCTTTAGCTCCTATGTGTCTCTTTTTTTTGGTACCAGGGTTCTGAATCAAATTCAAGACCTTATGCTTTCCAGGCAGGCGCAGCGCAGCTGAGCTACATCCCTGTCCTGGCTTCTATGCTTTTAAGACACAATGGCTGCTTAGAGCAGGGTCCTGTATTCTGAGACAGATCTGGGAAGTTGGACCCTTTAGTAGTTTCCACCGTGGGCGCAGAAGGGGCGGAAACAAGGAAGCCATTTATGCGTTACCCACAAAACCTGTGTTCCACATTCAAGTCACGAGGCCTTCAAGTGCATGTGACATGCATGTGACTGTCTCCACCTCACCAGAGCTGCTCGAAGGCCTGGGTGATCTTCTGTTGCAAAGCCTTCTTGGTGGCCTCGATGACTTCCACCTCTTTGTGCAGCTCATTCTCCACAGGGTCCTGTACCACATCGATGTCTCGCCGACTCTCCCGCAGGGTCAGGCACTCGATGGCCACATCCAGAGGCAGGTTCTTGGCCTGCAGGTTTTGCTCTGCTGAGTCCTTCATCTAGAAAAGAGGACCAGGGGACTGGCGAAGCCGTACACTGGGAGGTTGCTTTTATCCCTCCTTTGGTGAAAGGACCCATGAGTGACCCAATGGCGATGCCGTCCGTGCCCCTAAGAAGGGTTCCCAGATCCAGAAGTGGACAAGAGGGGAGGTCTTCGCAACAGTGTTTTGGCCCCAGCCCTGGCTCCTTGCCTGTGTCAGGGCATCAATCTCAGCATCTAGGTCAGTGAGACACTTGTCCAGAATCTCCTTCCATCGGTTGACGGTATCAATTCTCTCTGCCAATCGAGTCCTGTTGTCATGTTCATCCCAAATGGTCTGGAAGAGACAAAGACAGATAAACAGGGAGTGTGTGGTTGAGGGCTGCCCCTTGGCTCACCGGACTGGGCTCCGGCTCTCAACCTGGTTGTTGGTCTCATTGCGAAGGACCCGGGCCTCCTGGCGGATTTGGTGGGAAGCATTTCGCTGCTGCTCCGCGTTGGTGGACAACAGGGAGCTGTTGGTGTGCCAGTCCGGCAGCCGGAAGCGCTGACTCGGCTTGACACTCAGCGTGGCCATGGTGCAGGGGCAAAGGCCAGAAACCCGGAGGCCTGTTTCCAGATATCGCCTGTGGAGGGAAAGCAGCATGCCACAGGCCTTTGAGTGGGCTGTTTCCTGGCTTAAATGCCCCCTCCAAAGGCCTTGCCCTGTCCACTATGCTCTGAGCCGCTTCCTCTGAGCAGGAAGCCTGCTGGGCAAAAGTTCCCGCTAAACTCAACTTGTGTGAGGCATTAGCTAGGTTTCCTCCTGTCCATCAGCCCCAGCACAGAGCCCTGAGGCCTTCAGGTCCTAGAGTAGTAGAGCAGGTAAAAAGGGAGAATGGAGTCCCTCAGGGTGTGTGTGTGTGTGTGTTGTGCCAGTGCCAGTGCCCTGTGCATGGCTGGCAGGGAAAACAGCCCTTAATCCAGTTTCCACCGGATTTCCAGCACCAAAGCTGTTAAGCTTTCTTCCCTTCTTTCCTTGGCTGTGGGCCAGGCCTCTGAGGGACGCAAGGGACTGAGGCCTGTTCTCTCTCTCTCTAGGGCTTGTGCTGGCATGAGGCAGTTAGGT